GTGTACCTAAACTTACTCCTTTGGAGTAAACCATTGGCTCTACTTTGACCTTTGAGTGTCTTCTTGGATTGAATTACTTACCGGTTTTTCAAGGCTGAGGCTTATTTCTAAACCACCTGATTGGTTGTTGGACAATCATGTTAGCTCCTCACATCCAGGATTCCATTCTTTCTCAGGTAAATCACAATTTCTTTACTTATTTCTTGTTATTTCAGTGTGTAACCCAGTTCCAACCCTTCCTCTGCATGGTTTGAAGTAAAACTGTTTGGCAACACTTTATTTGGCGGGGTGTTCATAAGACTGACATGACACCCTAAGTGTCATTAATTTACCAAATGACACTTCATAGTAACAATCCTAAATATTCATGAAAATTATTTCATCATCATGACAGGTGTCATGTTGATAGTGTCATGTCTTATGCACAACCCATCAAATAATGTGTTACTAAATGTTTTAATAGAGATAAAAAAATAAAAAAAGTTTTACTTAGAAATTTTTCTGTACTTTCAAAAAAGGCTGTATAATAGTAAAACAGTAGTGGCTCTGCCCAGCGCTCCCTTTTCCATGTTCATGATGGAGTCTCTCATCTTATTTCTCATTTCAGCCACTTGTTTCCAGGGCCTTATTCTTTCAGTCACGATTCAAATCTTATGACCGTAGGTGAGAAGAGGAATACAGATGAACTGGTGCATTCAGAGTTTCTCCTTGTGGTTCAACTTTGTCTTAATCATGGCTAGAGCAGCACTCCATCACTCCAGAGGTCAGACTTTCCAACAGCAGCTCCATCGTTTTGTCAGTTCTGCAGAAAAGCTTGTAAAGTTAACGAAAGATAAAGTAAATCATGTGCCATAGAGTGGTTTTACTTTGTTTCTAAATGTTGGATCGTGTTACATGACCAGTGATGTGCACTGTTTTGAGGTTAGGGTTTATTGATCTGATACAGATCATAATCTAAAAACCGTTACTACTGAAACACAAGAACAAAGGTGGAGAATGATTATCTGAAGGCTCTGTATGGTAATCTGTTAATTTAGGTTAAAACTGTCATAAAGTTCATGAAACAGCAAACAACAACTTTTTGATTGACAGAAGATGGTCATTTTAACCATCTGTTTTCCTCATGTTGTCTTGTTTTTCCTCAAGTTTATTTATTTATTTATTTATTTTTTTTTGCTTTGGACCATATTTGGGAAAACAAACAAACAAAAAAAAAAAAAACAACATTCATTTGGAAAAAACCCCTTGCTGTTTCCAAATGTGAACTGTCAGTGAATTAGAGACACAATTACCAAAGTCAAACATAACCTCTCTTAAGAAAATATTATCAAGGACAAAACTCTTGCCTCACACGCACAGTCATGTTCTAATCAAACTGATACATATTTTTACCTGCATGAGAAAACTCGAAAAGCAAACAAATAACAGTAAGTTCACGCTATCTTGGTGTTGTATTTTCAAGACACTTTCTTTTTTTTTTTTGCCTGACTATTTTCTCATTTTTTAGTTTGGGGGATACAGTTTAAAAAAAAAGTCTGCATTTTTTTAATTGTCCCTCACAATTTTACTTTAAGCAAATCTATCATCACATTTTGGCAGTTTTTTAATATTTACTGCATTCATTTTTGCTGTTGCAAATCACAGATAATTGTGCTAAGTGCTTAGATTCATAATTTATTCAAAAGAACTTTAGGTTTTTGTCCTATTAGAAAGGGAACCTGAGGCTCCATCCTTTTTCAACAAATCCTTGCATGATTACCATTTATTTAGGTTTATACACATATGGATAGCTGTGACAACACTCCATATATCTAAAAATATGATGCCTTTACAACATTTCATCATGGGAATTGTGTGTTTTGGACAGTTTTTTCTTGTATGTTAAAAGTAGTGCTGTCAGTCAATTAAAAATGTGATCAGATTAATCCCACTCTGGCGCCGTGAATCATGATTAAACACTATGCCTTACGGTGTGAGCTTGAAACGCAGTAGTGGTTCTTGCAGGAATGTGCCCAGTTGCATGACGTTTGAAAGGCAGTTCTTTCCTCTGAATTTTTTTAATTTTGGGAAATAAGAGTTATTTTGCTGTTAAGAATATAACAACTTCTTTGCCAATTATTTTACTGGCTCCTGTAACATTATCAGAATCAATAGTTAGTCCAGTAATTCCTATAAATTAACGTTTTACATGACTCTACCTCTCAAAAGTAGCCAAAACTCTCAAAACATGGGGTAATTCACTTTAAAAGCAGCTTTGAAATCCACCATCCGTAGCCTTGATGATATCAGTTCTCAAGAAAAAGATAACGTGTGAAATCAGATGACACCTGCATAGGAAAAATGTGAGTCAGAAAAAAGGCAAACTGCCAAGTATACAAAACACCAAACTGGTTTGAAGGGAAACGGAGCGTATTGTGGGAAGAGGTCATCAGGAACTGCAGATTACGTATTGGTAGAGGCGTACAAATGAGGTTTCTCTGGCTTATTCAAATTACTTGAAAACTTTTTTATTATTATGGTATATGCATAACTTTTAAAAAAAAAATTACCCTAGCTATGACTGTTCAGGGCTACATTTGTTAGCCTGCTTGTGAGGATGTAGATTTTGTGTCTCTTTCTTGTTAGTTTTGTCCCTGTGTGTCGTCTTTCTTCCCTAATTGATTCCAGCTGTCTCTTGTTTCCCTTGATCATCTCCCTGTGTATTTAACCCCACCTGAGTCTCCTGCTCCCTGCCGGATCCTAGTCGTTAATGTTGTCTCTTCGTCTAGAGTTTGTTCCAGTGCTACCAGTGTGTCTTAGTTCCCTAGCCTCTTCGTTCACCTGTGCTTTCTGAATTTCTGTTCTCTTGTCCATTAAAATCATCACTTTCCACTTCAACCTGGGTCCAGTCGTATCAGTCCTCACCACCATCAACCTCAAGTCATGACACTGCTTTTGTTTCCCCTCAAACTGTGCTTTCTTTTCTGATGTTTCCTGTTCCTCCCATTCAGAGCATCTCTAAATAGCTCATGTTTATGTTTTTGCACTTCATGTTTTGTATTTTAGTGGCATACAAATGGCCTGTAGTTTTATACCGACTTATCAAGTCCAGAGGATCCTACAGCACTTCTCTCAAACATTCATTCACATGGTCACATGATGATAAGCTAGCATCTGTTGTCATAAGGTAGTCTGACTGAATAGAAAAGAGTTGGACAAAGGAAGTGAGTACGTCAACATGTTGTGTCTGAAAATTATCTCAGTTCAAAGTAGATTCAGAGGTGTTTGTTGAATTGTTTGTGTTAATCATTTGTGGCCGGTTTGGATTTGCATATTACTCTCTGCACCACAGCATACCTTCTAAATGGCATTCTGATTGGCACCTGGTGGCATACTAAAACAGGTCTTTCCACCTTTGCTTGGCAAGTTATAAGTTTTTTTTTCAGCGACTTTTATCTCCACCACATGCAACAAACATAGTAAAGCAAACATAGTCTTTTAAAAAATATTTTCTTGACAGCAATACAAAAAAGATTCTGTCATTACCTGAGATAAGTGTGATTACACTGAATCCACTATTTACTGGAGCAGGAACGGAAACTAGACAGCAATACGCTCTGAAATAAAAGACATTCAAGTTCACAACTTAAATGGAAGACATTTGAGTTCAGTGACTGAATTTTTTTTTAATGGTAGTGTGAAATAACTATAAATAAAGAAAAATAAGTGAAATTTTCCCTTGCTTCTCCTTCTTCATCCAATGGGGGACATAAGGATTTTGCCGTGTTGTGCAGGAAAATTCTGTGGAAATGCCATCTGAACTATTACAGGAAGGTTGCAGATCAAACGTCCGAATCAGAAAACAACACGCTTGGCTGCTTTCAAATTCCAAGCAAACTAGTCTGAACTCGATGTGCTTGGTTTTTTGGGGAGACAGCCTTTTGCAGGCTTTGTAAGTTCAAGCTGTAAGCACAGACTCCTGATGCCAGACGGCAGTTTTTCAATAAAGTTTACTGTGACAATATGATTTCTATATATATTTATATAAGTGTTTGCAGGCTGAGTCGGACTACAACATACAACAAAAAGCCACTGTCTTTCATGCAATATGTTTTTGTCTTGTTTTCTGGAGGTATTAAAGAGCTGCTTTTTTGTTGACTTTAATATCAGTCTTCTTGTATCTTCCTCAATGCAACATGTTGGTCACAGAAGAGGACATTTGTCAGGAGAAAATTAGTTAAGATGAAATTGACTGACTCGGCAAAATCCAAAAGAGTTGTTAAAAAAAACTGCATCTTGTTTAGATTGCTTGTTTAACTGCATTTTGTTTGATTTATCAGCACTATTTAGGAAATGTTAGCGTGACTTCAATTTTAAAAAAAATTTACCTTTAAAAATAAGAATTAATTTCAAAAACCTTTTACAGAAATTTGCCCAAAGCTACAAACTATACCATGGGCACTTGCTCCTGATTAGAGCCACGTCTTTCCATTGTGCTGTTAGGACAACTTCAGCAAAAAACAAACATAGACAAAGCTAAGCACACTCTCAGGTTGTGCCTTCTTAAGTTTTAAAGCATCCACATTTTGACTAGGTAATATAAACATTTTATGCTTTTTATGCATTGTTTTTTGTTTCCACAAGTCACCCTGTGTTGCATCTGTGATAGCATAAGAGGAGCAATGCTAAACTCTACCAAACATTGACTTGAAGTTGGGACTGTAGCTGGACTGAGAAACACACATTTTAATAATTTGACATGCACAGATGTTTGACAAGTTGTTTATTGAGAACTGACAAAAATGTAACATCACAATTTTTTGTTCACGCAACCACACAGCAAGAAGGCTCTGCTTTTTAAAGCTTCTTCTGCCTGGTGCTTATTCTGTGTTTGATTTGTCTCAAAAGTCAGATGTTCATAAACAGAAGTTGTGCAGTGCTGTGTGTGCCAAAAGTTAATGAGATAAACTGTCAGAAGTGCCTACAGGTAGGAAACTCTTACTATGTTTCTTTTTCTTTTCCTTTTGTATGACAGCCACGTTGAATATTGAACTCTCAGCGGCTTAGCAACCCCTTACGTTGTTGGTGTTTCAATTCAAACTTTCAGAAACATCCTTTTAGCATTCCCAGAAAAGACCACTAAAAACCTGACTTTCGAGTACAAACTGAAAGCACCGTTATGTGTTTTTCGTGAATGACTCAGCTCGGCAGATAAGAGACACAGATCTATAACCTGTGATTATTAACAAACTTAATGAGCCAAGAACACAAAATAGCCCAATTAAAATGTTCTTATTGTTCAGATGGAAACTGGAGAAAGTGCTTAACACATTCACATTCTATTGCTGTGAATATTTATTCGTAATGTTAAACAATGTCAATAATACATGTACTTTTCCTTAAAAAAATCCATAACAAGAATTATAAATTGCTCATATCACAAAACAAGCAGTAAATGAAATTTTGTCAAATGTTCAGCATTATTTCCCCACTAGAGCCTCACCGTTGTATGAACAAGTTTACAGCTTAATAATAAAGCATTACTCACTTTACGCAGTTTTTTTGTTCATCCTCATAAAGAACCCTTTAGAAAAAGTTAATATATTGTACAAATTGTTTTTTTTTAAATCCCAATGTCCACAAGTATTCATATGTATGTTGTGAAAATTGAACCAATTTTGCTCGCTTTAACAAAGTAAGACACAAACAAGTACATCCAATTTCTAACAAAAAGCAACTTTTCATAATCAACAGAACATGACCTGCTTCGTACGGCAGCAAGGAAACTGCAGCTGCTTTACCGCACAATCTCTGTGTAGTGTTCAAATACAAATGTGCAGTACTTGACTTTAAAGGTGCATGATGTGTATGTATATGTACATTATGTAAAAAAATCAGCTATTATGCTGATGCAACTATGAAAAAATCCACTTGTATCCATTTTAACACCAAGCTAGAGGGTATGAGAGATTTAATTGGGATGAATGTTTGACTCCAGCATTTTTTCAAATGTCAGACTTCTCTGCTTTAAGAACTTCAGATTTATTTTCCATAATGATCTTTTCCAAGGTCTTGAACTGTGGTCCGAGATCATCCAAAAAGCTTAAATCATCCTGTTGGTAGTCAGATGACAGCATATCCAGTGACATGCAACTGTTGCCATTCCCCTCATATTGATACATCTTCACATGGTCATCTGAACTATCTGTTGGGTTACTATCAGTCACTGTAAGACGCTATAAGATTTAAACGAGAAAAAAAGTCACATTAATATGAATCTTAAATACTCAAACCCAATTTTAACCAATGCTTTCTTCACACTCAGCTTTTTTTTTTTTTTATGTGATTATGGTCAAAAATAAAATGTTGTCATAATGTTTTATCAATTGCACTACTGCGTCAATGTTGTCATATGTGTAACATATGAGATAAAGAACTCTTACCCTCTCCAGTAGACTGCTAACACGACCATCTGACCAGCTACTTATAGAACGTTTAAAGGTTGAGTTGCCCTGCCAAAAGAAAACTCAGATGTCAGTCATGATAAAAATATGAAAATGTACAAATTCATACATATTATTCAGTTTATATTTTGCACATTTATTATAATCTGATTACATAAGTATTTTCCATGTGTACAATTTCCCTTTTTTTTTTACAACAAAGCTATCAATAGTAATGCATTTTTTTCTGATTTTTGCTCAAGATAACACACACAGCGTGGGTAATCACACCCGTCCAATTGTGTTGCGCTAGATGTTTTTTTTTTGTCCAATCAGGTGCGTTCCTTTAGAAACGCCTCATTTCTTTTGCTTATCCAATCAGGCATGGCTCTTGAGAATCCCCTTCCTTTGGAAACGCCTACTTCGTCTGCAGACATACCTCCTTGAAGGTAGCTAAAAACTTCAAAATTAAATCACAAGTTTTCTTCTCTCTGGATGGTTAGAGTTAACCTATCACCCTGATGTTTTGGTAGCATAGCTACCAAAAAGCAATCTGCAGATTGCACAATCTACACAATGCACATTAACACTTGTGAATTTGCTTTTATTTTTTATGCCCACAATGACTGACCGAGGAGGAGAAATTTGTTTGGCCTCAAGCATGATTAAAATTCGATGTTCAAGGCAGACTTGTCCCAAAGAACTGAACATTGTAAAAAGAGGAAGGTCTCAGCCGGTATTGCTGGGATTGCCTATTTCCAAGTGATCAACTTGATTTTGTCTTTCAGTTCATGTTTCTTTGGATTTATATGTATTCAATTCCTTTCCTTATTCAGTGTGTTTGTCAGTCTTCCAGATGGCTTCTAACTCTTTAACACAAATTTAAGTCACACTTTATGAATTTCATGAACATTTTGAAAATTATGTGTTATTAATATTTCATTTATTTAAACATCTGTATACCACTTGGTGTTGATTTCTTACAGAAAATCATAATAAAGGTGTTGAAGTTTGTTGAATTCAAATGTGCTCTAAGAGACAGTTTTTTGGGGAAAAATGAAGGGATGGTATTGCTTTTTCAACACAGTGTAAATAAAAACGTCTGCTTACCTGAAATGTGCCCCTCCTGTTGGATGACCATGTTGAGCCCTGAAAAAACAACAACAAAAAAAAACAATCTTTAGCTTCATCTTTTAGCTTTTCTTACCACTGACCGACTTATTTTTATTATTTTTTGGTTGTTTTTTGATGCAGGATATATTTGGTTTTTAACTTTTTAGCAACATAATTTGTCTCATTAAGCTTTTAATTCATGCATTTACAAACAAATACTTTAAAGTCAGCAACAGGTAAATGTGCAGCAAATTTTCTGTGAAGTATCCATTTATGGCAATTTCAGCAAATGCTAAATGTGTGTATGGATGAGTTATGTTGTTACTAAAAAAATAAATAAATAAAAAATAAAGAAGGAAGGAAAGAAAGAAAAGGTTAAGCTTGCAATCAATTTTCAAAAACTTTTCTTTGAGCACCCTCTTGTGGATAAAAGGTTGTACTGTGCAACTGAACATTCAGCCACAGTTCCACTAAACCACATATAGCCATAATTACTCACTCTGGAATTCCTCTTCATGCCTCCCTGCTGCTGAGAGTCCCATGTGTTCATGTTTGAGCTCATCTGTGGGCATACATTATAATAAAGCTAAATTACTGACAGAACAGACATAAAGAACTGCATGCAAATTTTATTTACTCAAGCTTTGATCCAAAGGAGAATATTTAAACTGGTTGCTTACGACGGAGTATGTTCTGTAGCATGATCCCATATTTTGGGCCATTCCTGGGGTGGCCTCAATGTTCTAGTTGAAAACAAAAAAATGAATAAAGCAGGCACTCGCACACTGTGACTGCAGTGATTTCATGGAGATTTCAAACCGTTCTTTATAAATGCTTTCAGTAAACAAAATGAATTGTTTTTTATATATATTTAATGTTTATTTTAAAAAGTTACAAAAGATACACCTTTTGAATAGATTTTGACAGTTTTGTCAGAAAGAGTCCATATCATTTGCAATATAGCAACAGGTATATTTTGTCTAAAATATACTTCAGTTTTGAAAGTGCCTAAGATAATGGTCTTCTTTATCAGACTGTAAAGGGTTAAACTCACATATACATGACATTTCTAGCTTAGTAGTTTAGCTAATTTTGGACTAAATTTAAATTGAAAAAGACATAGCTGTTGTTATTGTCATAGTATTACACATTGCAACACTTAAGTTGACTTGAAGACACATCTTTTCAAATACTAGATCATTCAACACATTCCTCTGTGATTTAGTAAAATTATCAATAACCACAATGACATTAATAATAATACAACTTACAGCTTTCATTCAGTCAAGAGTAATTACACACACTGACTCAGCTTAAAGCTTTAACAGGAATTTACACCTAAAATTAGTGACATGTACCTGCATGCTTCCCAGCTTGATGCCGTCTGTTATACTCTCCGTAGTCTTTGATGCTAAGATGTTGGGCTCAGCCTGGCAAAAAAATAATAGTAGGGAAAATACCTTTTGTTTTGGCAGTAGCTGTGCATCATATTCACAGTGTTAAACTCTCCATTCAGTTTAAATTATTTATGTAGGAACCAGTTTACAACAAATGTCATCTGAAGGCATTTTCCAAATAAAACTGGCCCAAAGATTTCCAGTGATTCAGAAATGTATAATGAATCCAATTTATGTCAATCCAGTGTATTTATCTTTTAGAGTTTTTGATGCCAAAATGTCAAATGTTAACTATTTAACAAGGACAGTCCAGAGATGTGATATTGCCAGTCTCTCTGTAGTCAGCACAGTCACTCCACAACTTACCTTGCAATCAGTGCCCAGTCCTTCTTCATTGTACTTCATCAATGTCTGTTTGTATTCATCATTCAGATTAGTCATCAAAAATGTTTTTTGTTTGCGCGTCAAAAGAAGGAGCAGCACTGCGGACACATTAAGATAATTTGAGCACCAAGTTTATGAATTCTCTTTACTTTTAAAGCAAAGCCTAAAATACATATCCCATGAGTTTTAAATTGTGTGTTCATGTAAAGTTAATGAAATGGTTTTAAATGTGATTAAGAACTGTTCTAATTTATTTTAGCGTGTACAGCATACGTTAACATACACTCAATAAAACGATACTGTCACTCCCTGGAGTTAAACCAGAACAAACTTCTCTTGCTTTAGGATACTTAGAATTACAAAAAATCATTTCTATTTGCTAAATACCAGAAAATGTAGTGAGGACAGTTTTTAGACTTTGACTGGAACTTTTCTGAATTCAGACGTTTACATACATTGTGGTCAGGATATGTGCAGAAGAGCAAAAGAGTAAGAATAAATGTGTAAAAAAAAATGTATACGTGTTTATAATGTGTGCAAACATCTGGTT